AGCCCGAGGCCCGGCCGGGCCCAGGCCCGAACCGGGCCCGAACCGGCCCGAGTCCAGCCCTACAATCAAGTAAATAATCATAATCTATTCTATGATCCGATAGAGCAACCTGGACCCTTGCCAGAGCATGAGCCACAATATTCACGGATCTTCTACAAAAAGAGATTCCAAAATTACTCTTTGTTGTCAAAAACCTTCTAATGTCATCCATAATCAAGTCAACATAAGTTGCACCACTTGTTCTTCTTTTAACATTCTCAACAACCCTTAAAGAATCCGTTTCTACCTCGGCCTGCTGTCACCCTGCTTCATTGGCTCCCATAATAGCCTCCCTAACACCCATAGCTTACGTTTCTTCCACGGACCAATCCACTTTTCTTGATTCTCCACTGGCCCGAACAAAATTACCGTTATCATCTCTAGCTACCCAACCCCAGGACGAATCCCTCCCGTCTGATTAACAGCTCTGTCTACATTGATTTTTACCGTACCTGGATTTGGTCTCCTCCACTTGCTACCTCCTCCATCTGCCCGCTGCTGTTCTCCTTTATTTTCGGCGATGTCATGTGCAGCCTTCCATGTGAATACATTCATATAAAGTGAAAATTTTATAGGTAGTAGTAGTATATAGTTATTTTTTTTCCCGTTGTTATCATGGTCAGGTAAAATAAACAATTACTCGTATAATTTAAATTAAGAGCTAGTTAGTTTGCTCAATAGAAGTGATTTTTTTTTAAAAAAGGTGAACTTCAAATTCATTAATAAAAGCACGTGTTTGAAATTTTCCATATATGAGTTCATACCTCTCTTTTTTATTCTTCACTACCGGGGGTCAGAGTGGTCAGCCAATCCCCTTGAATGATCGGGAATGTAGAGCTCTGAAATACATTTGATTTGATCAATTATGGGTAAAAAATATATTATAACTTCTGAAAAAATCAGCATCATCTCAAATTGATCTCAAATTGAAATAAGCAAAATTTGATGTGTAGCATTGATTATATTCTTAAATTTAAAAATTAAACACCTTAAGAAGACAACAATAATGTGATGTGATAGTAAGAGACCGAATCCTAGCGTAACTTTTGGCCGCCGTCTCTACAATCTGCGCTAGTGAAAAGCAACCGCTTCAGCGTGGCTGCAAGAAGGGTGAACGTCAAGGGAAAAGCTCTGTGAGTCTATTTGTGGCATAGTTTAAATATTCGCAGGGAAGATTTCATTTTGGTGTCGAGTTTCTAGCATTTTGGTAATCGGTTTTATCCGACTGGCTTTTTCTGGCTGAGCTCTAGCTCTTGCCGAGAGTTTTTTTTTTCTGATTTAGTCTGAGAAGGTTTGAGTTGAGCACAGTCCGTTGTTTCTGTTTTTACCGTAGTAGTCTTATTCTGTGGAATTTCATTTTAATTATGGAGAAAATAGCAGAAGAATACGGCAAGATGTCGATTGAGGAAGAATAAATTAGTGGCATGATGTTTGAGTCATGAGTTCTCAATGTTAATAATGGGGAGGGAGAGAAACCACATTTGTCTGCTATTGCTAGAGTCATTACGGATAAACCTATCTATTCTATCTCTTTCAGGGAAACAATGGCCATGATATGGCGTCCGAGTAAAAGGGTGAGTATTGAGCAAATAGGAGATATACGTTTTATGATATCTCACGAGCTTCGCAGGATGGACCCTAGGCAGGGTGGAAGAGAGGGACAAACCACTAAAGGTGGAGCTTAACTATGCAGAATTCTGGGAACAAATTCACAATCTACCTCTCAGTTTTATGACGGAGATAGTGGCAATTGGAATTGGCCAGTACTTGGAGAGGCTTGTCAAGATTGATGAAAGAACTCTGAAAGGGAAAATAAGGAGTTTGTTCAAATTCGTGTGTCAATTGATATAAGAAATGCTCTGAAGAGAAGAACTCAGTTAAGGGGTGAAGGAGATAGCTGGTTCTGGGTGTATTTTAGATACGAGAGGCTGTCAAATTTATGCTTCATATGTGGTGTTCTGGACCACACTGATAAATATTGTCCTTCAAACAACAATGCAGGAGCTTAGGCGAGGGCAAACCGTATGGACCCTGGATGAGGGCAGATATGCGTCGAGGGGGAACCCACCCGGGGAATAAATGGCTTGTACCGAATGTAGGGCGTGAGGGGAGGAGCACAATGGAAGCAGAGGTAAGACATAGTCAGCTAGTGGAATGTCAGGAGAAGGGCACCGATGTGGGGTGCTATTTGGTACAAGGTCTGATCTTGCGAGGAAAAGAGAAAGTGGGGATGGTGGAGGAACCGCAACATGATAGGAGTTTAGAGGAGGGTGAATCCAGGAAGAGAAGAGCAATGGACTTGGAGAATTTGGTAGAAGTACAATTCAATATGGAGGTTGATGGACCTGGGTTAAAAAAAAACGAGGCAGTGGCGGTGCTACAGAATCAGCACCTCCTAGAATATCATTAGCAGAGGCAAATGAGAGTCTTCCTTTGGAGGTGGTTGGACAAACCTCTTCTCCTTTCCCGATGGATGACCAAGTCACAAAACGGCACGATTATTTAGACAGTAACTAAATTGGTACACTCAAAACGGATAACGGGTGAATAAGAAATGGATTCTCGAAGTTCACTCGTTGAAATGGAAAAACTCGGAAAAGGATGAGTTTCTAGCATGATTTATCCCACACCGGAAAAGGATATCTTCACGCGCAAGGGGGGAGCTGACCAAATCCCGAAAACAGAGAAGAAAAACCGTGACGCGCATGAGCGGGCGACCTACGAACACGAATGCCATCCAAAGATCTAATCTTTCAAAGATACGATTTAAGTTTTGTTTCTTCCTGTAAAATTTCTTTTCAGAATCAAAACTGCTCGGATGGACATAACCGCTTCTGCTCCGCACCAAAACTGCTCGGACAGAACGCCCCTGCTGCTCTGCATCATAACTGCTTGGACTAGAAGTCTTTCGAAGCGTTACAGTAGTTAATGCTCAACGTTCTTCTCCTTTAATGCGTCTTTTTAAATGGACAATTTTTTGATATATTAATGCCCAACGTTCTAGTCATTAAAGTTCAATTAACATACAACAAGTTCATCCATATATATAGCTGGCAGATGATTTGCAACAACACACGTCCAACACGACACAACATTGTTAGCACATTGTGTCTCAACTAAAAACACCTCCAGCTTTTCGAAATTTCCTCAGTGTTCTCACTTTGTTCCCGTTCACCAGAACAATCGATTATGTGCTCAAACGGTTGTTCACAACCACCGTATACTGGGAAACTATCGCTGCAACGCTTCTAGCACCATGGGAGGCAGCAAATACATTTTAAAGAAATTGTGCGTAACACAAGCTTTGACTTTTCTGTTCCATCTTCTTTATGTTTCTTTCTTGACTATTTTTATTAATTATAAATTAATTTCTTTGTTATTCTGAACTTCACCCAACAAATATTTAACTCTTTTCATTACTCTTCCCATTTCGAAATAGTATATCCAAAAGGTGGAATCTCCAACCCAAGGAGCCCCCACCCCGACCCGACAGGATGGTGGGGAGGTTAGTCAAGGTGACTCAGTCAGCAAGTGGCAGTAGGCCCATACACCCGTGCGCACCAGAGGCCCAATCTTATTTCAGGTTTCGTGAACTCCACCCGGTCGTTGCGGGGATTCAAACCTTGGTCTATTGATCCAAATCTCCCACCACTCGACCAACTGAGCTACCCGTGCGGGTCCCATTTCGAAATAGTTAAGTTTTTCCATTGCTTACTCACTCGTTTTTATTTTATGTGTTTTGCACTTTTGCTTCACATAATGATGTCTTTCGGTGTCTTTGAGGGGAAAATAAGAGCTTCTATAACAACACTTCAATTTATATAGCTTTGTATATTGAGATAACTATACAGTCTATACTAAAAATAAATTCAAATCCGAAACTTGAACTCAAATGCTACGGACATTAAAAGTTAAAACATTGATATACGGAGAACCAGGTTTGTGAACAAAAAAGAAATGTGGGATAAGACTTAAGAGTGATGAATAAAATAGGGCATATTAACTACTCCATACGAAGCTTTAAAGCAAATATAATAATGTTATTAATAGCAACTCCAATACAAGAGTATGGTCTCTTACATACCTTTACGCATAAGTCCCATTTTTTATCTCATCATTTTTATGCGTACGACCCACGTATTTCCTAATTTATTTTCATTTTCATTTTTTATATCACTTTTAACCTACTTTTCATCAACTTTTTCTCCTTGAATCCCGTATAAGGTCCATATATGGACCTTTTCATAGACCTTGGTCCATTTTTATCTCTATCTCTCTCCTCTTTTTCATTTTTCCCTACACACCACTTCATCCAAAACAGTTTCTCAACTAAAAAAACACCCTTTTTTAGTTTGTTCCAACTTTTAAAAGATTTGTACTATACTGTACTTTATTTTATTACTACATCCCTCCCTAAATGTTTGTCCTAGTTTGACTTCACTGATATTAAGGAAATGAATTTGAATTTACACTGTAGTGATACTATTTGACACTGTAGTAACATTGTTTGACATTGTTTGATAAAGATTTGTTTGTTAAATGAGAAAAGAAAAAAATAGGATAAACTTGGAACATCCATTTCAGTAAAATAGGACAAACATCTTGGACATTAATTCACCGCTCATTTTGAAACTGGTATAGTTAATTCACTGCAAGTTGTGCAACTGCCAACCAGCTGGAAACTTTATATCGACCAGACGAGAGCAGCAGCAATGCCGAAATGGGAGTTGTCATGCATTATTATCCATAGCTCAGGGTTGATGAGTCATACAAGAAGGGCGGCTCCTCTTACCAATTGGCGCCATCTTTCATTGCTCTGTCCCCACCACAGACGCCGCTCTTCTTACAAGATCTTTTCTCTGCCGATTCCTTCCTCCACCGACACTTTCACGTCCTTATTTGACTACCCATCCACGGCATTGCTTTGCTTTTTTACCAATAAAACAAAATAAAGATGCCAACACCACATGGGTAAAGTTCCAGAGCATAATAAAAGGGATTTGATTCATCACTAAGTTAGAGAGAGCCATTGAGAGGATGGGGAAGATGAGTTCTTGGTTTTCTCTAATGGCAATTGGGATCGCACTATTACTACTTCAAGGGAATCGTATCAACGCGGAAGATCCATACAGGTTCTTTATATGGAATGTGACTTATGGTGATATTTACCCACGTGGAGTCAAGCAACAGGTGTGTATATATATGTGTGTAAAAGCTTTAATTTTCTCTGTTTCAGTATCCGTTTTGCTTCTTTTATTGTTCTCAATGTGCAAACGTGATGTGTTTGATAAAATGCCGCAGGGAATATTGATCAATGGGCAGTTTCCTGGACCGAATATAGTGTGTGCGACCAACGACAACTTGATTGTCAATGTTTTCAACAGTTTGGATGAGCCATTTCTCCTTTCTTGGTACGTATGTAACTGGCTTCTATGTACTGTTGTACCACTTGTATGTCCTGGATGTCAAATGAACTTATGAAGCTCTGTTTTAAGGGCAGCGCCAATCTGTCATTTTCCTCTGGTATGGGTAGCGTTATAGCATGAACAGTTTGCGTTTAACGTTTACAAAATAAGGCGTTAGTTTAATCTTCAAATGTTTACCACGTCTGGTATGTATATAATTTTAATAAAATTATAAATTTGTTATAAACATTGTCTGTAAAAACTGGAAACTGTTTTTGGGAACAATAAAACCAAGAAATCCATGTTTCCACTATTACAATTTACAACAAACAGTTTTTTGTTACAATTTTTTTTTTCTGTTTTTAGCACATGACACCTGAAAAATATGGCAATCTGGTTATATTTGAAAGCCAGAAAGCCTGTTAGTAAGGAGACGGATATAGATTGATTAAATGATACACTTTGTGCCAACACAGGAATGGTGTGGAGCAGAGGAGGAATTCGTGGCAGGATGGAGTTTGGGGAACCAATTGCCCCATTCCACCTGGCAAAAATTTCACTTATGTCATGCAGGTTAAGGATCAAATTGGCAGCTTCTTCTACTTCCCGTCCCTTGCATTCCACAAGGCTGCAGGAGGCTTCGGTGCCGTCAATATTGCCAGCCGTTCTGTCATCCCCATTCCTTTTTCTCAACCTGCTGGAGAATACACTGTACTAGCTGGTGACTGGTTCAATCAAAACCACACTGTGAGCAACAAACCTTTTTATAGAAAACTCCATAGGTCTTCATTGTTACAGTTATTTTTTGAAATTCAAACTATATGATCTTCTGGACTTTCTAGGCCTTGAAAGCAACTTTGGATAACGGTCAAGAACTGCCATTCCCTGACGGGATTCTCATCAATGGGCGTGGATCCAACGGTTTAAGATTTGCAGTTGATCAAGGTATCTATCTAGATTATGATTTGTAAAGAACAAGAAAATTGCATACTTGGTCTTATATTTTGGGCATCATCCAAACTAATCCTGTAGTAAGGACCATTTTCATACTTGGTCTTATAGTTTATTATATTTGCCTGATTCGAGGACCTTCAGTCCAAAAATTTATCACATGCTGTCATCACGTGTGGATCATGTGTTTACCTTAAGTAATTTTTAGGCATACAGAAGTTTATTCATCAATTAAAAACAGAAAATGAATTGAAAAAATTAATTGGAAATGACCAAATTGGGTAACATGACGAAATCTGGTGCTAGTTTGAATCTTCTGTACAACGTTCTCAAGTTGGGAAAGAATAATGAATTGCACAACCAAATATGATAAAGTGGCTTTTTGACTAAAACTTTAAATAATACTCGTATAAGACGAAAAATGCATTTTGTTGGAAATGAAAAACATAAAATTAAAGTTATAAGATGGCTTAATGGTATGTGAAACTTGGATGTGTTCAGGCAAGACTTACAGGTTCAGGATATCGAATGTTGGACTTGCAAATTCTTTGAATTTCAGAATCCAAGGGCACAAGATGGTACTGGTTGAGGTTGAAGGCACACATACACTGCAGAATACATATGATTCACTGGACATCCATTTAGGGCAGTCTTATTCAGTGTTGGTGACTGCTGATCAACCTGCACAAGATTATTATATTGTCTTTTCAACGCGGTTCACATCTAATGTGATCACATCAACTTCCATTCTTCAATATGGTAACTCTGCAGGAAGTGTTTTGGGACCTCTACCTGGCGGTCCTACTATTCAAATTGATTGGTCTCTGAATCAGGCCAGATCTATCAGGTAAAAAACTACAGCGATATGTTTGTGTGCTTAAATTGATAAAAGAAAGGAATTTAACAATTTAAGACCATGTTCTGTAAAACAAGCAAACAAGTTACTTCATAGTTGATAAGTTAGCGATTGACCTATAGAGTGCTAAATTTGTCAGCACTTATCTATCTGTCCCTAACTATGCCTTTATTGGTGACCTATACAAGAAACCATCAAACAAATAATGTGAGAATTTCACCACTTTCCAAATTTACACTCTAAAGGGTAGATGATTCACATAAAAAAGTGCAAATAGGTAAAAATGTCAAATTAGAAATGGGTAAAGAGAAAAAGTGTAAACTCTGGGAAGTCTTAAAAATGACAAGGGAGCATAGAAATACATGGCAAAAGTGATGTATTTGAAATTATTTAAAAATAAAACTTCAACAATAACGATATTTAAAAAATAAAAGCGAGATTAAAAATCAAATATGTCACATAGCTTCTTTGAAAAGCTACTCCATGAATCTTGCTAAATAAGCTCAAACTTTTAAATAAGTTCCCCAACTTAAACAGAAGTTATTTGAAAAGCTTCTTTGAAATGAGGTAATTGCCAGCTTAAAGCTTGCCAAACATAGTCTAAGATGTTACTGATCAAACAGGCGAAATTTAACAGCTAGTGGACCACGGCCCAATCCCCAAGGTTCATACCATTATGGATTGATCAACACCACAAGGACAATCAGACTCTCAAATTCTGCTCCAATCATCAATGGAAAACAAAGATATGCAATCAACAGTGTATCTTTTAGCCCGGCAGATACGCCGCTCAAACTTGCTGATTATTTCCAGATTCAGGGAGTTTTTACTCTTGGAAGCATCCCTGACAGGCCTGCCGGTTCTGGTGCTTACCTTCAGACCTCTGTCATGGCTGCTGATTTCAGAGCTTATGTGGAGCTTGTGTTTGAGAATTCAGAAGACACAGTCCAGTCATGGCATTTTGATGGCCACCATTTCTTTGTTGTTGGGTAAGCATTTCCTTTGAGGTGATGTCTGTTGTGATGGAATGCATTTATCTGCTATGGAAATTAAAACACTTCCCACATACTTGCTGATAACCGCTTTCGCGGCGTTGTAGTAAAACGGAGTCTAACCTTTCAGTTTTTCCCCGAGTATCGTGTCTCTCGAGGAATGGCGGAGGAGCTTCTTGATTTCAAGTCCAGTCACAGGTTATCGCAAATTATTGGAAGCTTTCCAAATTAAAATTTTTGATTGATTTTCTAAACTACTTTTTGGAAAAGAAAGTAAATTAAATTGTGCAAATACTAATGATGGCTCAAAAATAGACTAAAGGGAAAAATATAATATTAAACTTAAATGGATTGGTGCAAATAAGGGCAATGAATTGAGTAATTAGAAATGGATATATTCTTGAACCTAGTAATTAGGGAAATTAAAACTAAAATTGGACTAATAATTTCTTTCCTCATAGACAAGAATAGAAACTATTTTCATTAATTTATCCTATTTCTAGGTGTCATTAATGTGTTCAAAAATGGTTGGCTTGAATTAAATTCTAACCTCATAGACAAGGTAGAAATAATTCTCCAATATTTTAATTAATAAAAATAGCCGAATTCATTAACTAGTTAAACTCATTATTTAAGCAATTGAATTTATCTCTCATAGACAAGATGTAAATCCCTTTCATTAAATTATCCTATTTCTAGGCCTTATTAATGTGCTTGAATATGGTTGGCTTAAATTATTTTCTAATCTCATAGACAAGTTAGAAATAATTTTCCAAGAATTTAATTAATGAATATGGCTAACAATTATTAATTACTATTTCATCATTTCAAACAACTAGTCCAAATTATTAATTTTAATCCCTAATTTTCGGTCAACAAGTCAATCCATATTCCTTTAGTCAATTCATGCCCAAAACAAATTTAGCTAATAAACATCATTTTTTCATTTAACAATACAATGAATAAATTCAACATTAACAAGGAATTAAGCATGTATAATAGCAAAAATTAAACAAAAATAGTATTCTTCCAAAATAAACTTGTAGAACTAAAATATCACCTTCTGGAATTTTTCCCGAATTTTATAACCTAAAATCCAATTTTAACAACTAATTGATAATTTTCCCAATATTAACTAGAAAATACAAAAAAAGCAACTACAAATATTCTAAATTCGTTCTAAATTTTATATTGAATACTAGGAGTGATATTACTGTGAATTTAACTGGAATTAGGACAGAAACTAATTTTTTTCCTTTTTTGAGTATTTAATTTAATTTACGCAATAATAACAACTAAATGCCAGAATTAATTAAAATTTACTTCTACTTCATAAAAATTAACTTTGTTTTGATAAATAACTACCTTGAGGCTAGTAAACAACTATATAATTAATTGGAATGGATTTAATGTCAACAACTATTCTATTCAAATTTAAGACGAAAATGCGAAATAGTTGAATAATTTTCTGGAAATTTTAGAAGCACAGATAAAAAAAACTAAGTACAGATTCAGATTCTACTCATTGAAAGGATGAAAATACATATAAAGAACTCACAATTTGGAGCTAAAATGAGAAAGATATGAAAGATTGAAGTTGAAGGTGCAACAATGGTGGAAATCCGAGCTTTGAGGAGGAAGAAGACGCCCTTTTTGATCTGATTTGGGCTTGAAAATCGGTGTATTGAGTTGGGGATGGAAGAGGGCTTTTATAGCCGGAGACTATTGGAAGGCGGCCAAGAAGGCGGCCGCCCTCCGGCCATGGCCGGCAGCCTTCGGTCATTTCTCCGACAAAGCTTCGTGCACGGGTCAATTCCGCCGCAGGCGTCCACGGTAGGCGGCCGCCCTCCTTGGCCGCCTCCCGTCTTGTCTCAGCTACCGGCAGCTCGTAAATCACATCCCACCGCAGGCGGCCACAGAGGGCGGCCGCCCTCCGGCCCCCGTCGGCAGCCTTCCATCATTTTGTCGCCATGCAAAGTGTTAAGTGCTGAAACTGTCAAAAACTCGTAGGCGCCCGGAAAGGCGGCCGCCTGCTCCACCGCCTTACGTCAAATGGAAAAGTTGTCTTCATCAAAGTTGTAGCTCTCTTTCTTGGCTAACTACTGGAATTTGAATCGCATTCATTGGATTTGTAGTTTATGAGATATGGTCAAAACGGTGACCACATGTCACTTTCCATCGCAACTGCAAATGTCTGACTTCTTTGAGCAATATGTCCATTCTACGGTGGTTATTTGGCTCTGTGTTCTTCATAAGAGTTGTAGATCAGGAAGATATCAATGTAATGAAACTCGTATCACGAACGTTGGACAATTATGCGCAAAGTTATGATCACAATACGAACATGTGTCTCTATGCATCGTCCATTTTCATCAAAAGTAGCCATATATGTGACTCCTTCGTGGTTTTGAACTTCCTTGCATGATTTCTTCATCACTTGGACTTTTTTCATTGAACAATTGGTCAATATATCTTGCAAACTTCCGTATCAATTCATTTGTTGGCAAAAAGTGCCACTTTCTTCACGCAATTGACCCGAAATTTCACAAAACATGTTATGAATGCGATTTTTACCCGATTTCATGAAACTTGAACCAAAATATATAAAATGTGCCTTGTTTTTCTATTTTTCAATCCAGAATTGCTTAAATTTGATAAGAAAAATAAGTACATAAATGGACTTATCACTTGCCTACTATGCCTAGTTGCCTTGCAACAAAGCGTACTCCACGTTAATTAATGGGTGAAAAATGGTTACATCAGTTTTAAAATTCCACAAATTTCAATGAAAAGTGACTGACAAAGTGACAAGCCAAACGTCTTCTTATCTGTTGGTATTGGCCCGGCATTATTATAAGCCCAATTGCAAATTGAGGAGGTTTCCAGCCCAAATACCCTTGGTATTTTGCCGACCCATTCTTTTCCCCTATCGGCTCTCTACTCACGCGATTCTTTCCTCCCTTTCACGGCTTCAATGCGTATCTCTGGTTATGGTAAGCTTTCCTTGTATGGCGTCCGAGCTTGGCCTATTTATACCCCTTCCTTGCCTTCGGTTTGGAGTCGGGCGAAACCCTACCTCCCAAATATCTCCTCAGTGGAACCCTTTTTTGCAGTTGGCCGGAATTGTCTTGAAGGTTGTTGCCCATAACCTCCATCTTTAGGCTTTAGTGGTAGTTATCATCCTTTGTGGATGAAATTGGAGACCTGAGCTGGAAGAGAAGCCTTCTAACAGTGGTATCAGAGACACGCCGCCGCCACGCCGCCGCCTCGCCGTCGCCAGAGATCCAGGGAGTGCTGCCACCGTCGCCAGGAGTCGTCCCTGCAGTAGCTGACTTCGAACCAGCCGGCCAGACCTTCTGCCAGGAGTCCAAGGTGCTGTCCAGAGCACTGCCGCCGCGTCGCCGCTGTACGCCGTCGTCCAGAGGTCGCCGGAGGTCCAGGGAGTTCCGCCGCCGCCGCCTGGAGTCGCTAGTGCCAGTTCGGACCTTCTGCCAGAAGCTTCCAGTCAGTCCAGGGAGATTTGCTTCGGTCCAGAACTCTGCCTGCTGCCGCCAGGGAGGTGCCGCCACGCCATCCAGTCCGCTGCCGCCATGCTCTACAGCAGCCCACGCTGCCTACGGTAAGTCGGGTAACCCAACCTCGGGCCCCGCTCAGGTAAATTGGCGTTTAACATCCTTGGTGTACCGGAGTGCCACCGGATTTTTTTTCCCCCCCGCTCCCCCGCTGCTGACCTGCGTGGTCTTGGATGCCGGCTGTGTCCGGCCCCTGGTACGTTTACTAATCCTTTGTGTGATTTTTATTCGTAATTCATTCATTTTAATTTCAAGTTGAATTGCAATTACTTGTTTGTTTGAATTGTGATTACTTGTTGGTTTGTGATTAATTTTTTCCGGTGAAGAATATTTTGTTTGGATACTCGTTGTCCAAAGTTGTGAATATTTCTTCCGGTTTAAATTTAATCACGTGTTGGATTTTTTATTTTGATTTTTTCTGTTAATTGATTCGTGGATAAACTCTCCGGATAAGAATATTTGTTTGGATACTTGTTGTCCGAAGTTGGGAATATTTCTGTCCGAATTAGTTTTAAATCCCGTTTCTTTGCTTGTTGATTTAATTCTAGCCTATTTGTGCTTGTACGAAAGAACAAGGAGATTGTACCCGAACTTCGTGTTCATCGGTCTTCTCGGCTTGTTCGTGCTAGTTGCTTCGTACAATTGATAGCCCTATAGGTTATAATTAATCATTTATCTGTCTGTTGAGTAAATAAAATTTTATCTTGCTTGTACGAAAGAACAAGGAGATTGTACCCGAGCCTTGCGTTCATTGGTCTTCTCGGCTTGTTCGTGCTAGTTGCTTCGTACGGTACGAAAGAACAAGGAGATTGTACCCGAGCCTTGTGTTCATTGGTCTTCTCGGCTTGTTCGTGCTAGTTGCTTCGTACCGGTTAATAGCCTGATAAATTTTTTATTTGCTCTCTTGCGTGTTGTGCTTGCTTTCCGGTTAATATGGCTGTCAATCAATATGGCATGCTTCCATTTAACGGAAAGACAGATTTTGATATCTGGAAACAGAAAATCAAATGTGTGTTGATCCAACAGAAAGTCTATAGAGCAGTGACTGGTCTCTATTTAGACTCTGAGGATGCTGCTAAGCGCGATGAAATGAATGAAACTGCTTGTTCCTCTATATACCTGAACCTTTCTGATTCAGTACTCAGGAAGGTGGGTATTATAGATTCTGCAAAGGCTTTGTGGGACAAGTTAGATAAGACGTATACCGATACTTCTTTGCCTGGTAAATTGTTTTTGCTTGAGAAGTTCTTTAGATTTAGGCTTGACCTGTCTAAGGACATAGATGAGAACCTAGATGTGTTTAACAAGCTTATTCAGAATATTAAGCAAGCCGGTGATAAACACATAGATGACTACACACCCATAGTGTTACTTAATGCCATCCCTGACTCATACAATGACGTCAAATCTGCCATAAAGTATGGTAGAGATGATATCTCGTTGGATGTAGTCATTAATGGATTAAGGAGTAAGGAGTTAGACCTTAGACACTCGAGGGGTAGTAACAGTCAGTCTAGGGACTCTGGTGAAGCGTTGTTTGTGAGGGGTAGGTCTAAGAGTAGATCTAGAAACCATAAGAAGGGCAACAACGATAAGAACAAAAACAATGACCCGGGGAAGAAGAGAGGTAAGTCTAAGAAGAGAGTGTGCTATAATTGTGGTAATTCTAGTCACTTCATTAAGGATTGTCCCCATCCGAAGAAGTCTGAACATGCTAATGTGGTAGATGATAATAACTTGCATGAAGAAGTTTTTATGATTTGTGATTCTGCCAATTCTGTGTTGAGTAGCATGACTGAAAATGAGTGGTTGATTGACTCTGGTTGTACTTATCATATGACACCTTTTAGATCCCTGTTTTCTTCTTATTATTCTTGCAATGATGGTTTCGTGTCTCTTGCTGATAATAAGAAATGCAAAATTCATGGGGTGGGTGATGTATGCTTGAAGTTTGATAATGGGACTGTGTTTACTATGAAAAATGTGAGGCATGTTCCTGATTTGCGTCATAACTTGTTTTCTGTTGCTGCTTTTGAGGGTAGTGGGTTAGAGGGTAAATGGGGTAATGGGTGCATGAAAGTTTTGAAAAATTCCCTTGTTTTGTTTAAGGCAAAAAAGGTGAATAACTTGTATGTGTGCCATGCTCAGCCTTTCTGTGATTCTGCTCATGTTGTTAGTTCTGATAAATCTGCTTTGTGGCATAATAGATTAGGACACATGAGTAATAGAGGTTTAGAGATTTTGCATAAATCTGGTTGTTTTGGTAAGGATTCTGTGTCCCCCATCCCCTTCTGTGAATCTTGTGTGTTAGGCAAGCAGCATAAGGTTACATTCCCCTCCTCCCCATATCCTAATCCTACTAAGTGTACCTCTGTGTTAGAGTATGTTCATGCTGATGTGTGGGGTCCTGCTAGTGTCTCTACCCACGGGGGTAAGAGATATTTTCTGTCCATCATTGATGATTTTTCTAGGAAGGTGTGGGTCCGTCTCCTTGAGCATAAGTCCGATGTCTTTGTGAAGTTTAGGGAGTGGAAAAACCTTGTAGAAAATCAAACTGGTAAGAAGGTCAAAACCCTTAGGACAGATAATGGTCTAGAGTTTTGCAATAAGGATATGGACCAACTGTGTGTTGATTGTGGGATTAGAAGGCACAAAACTGTGCCCTATACTCCCCAACAAAATGGGATAGCCGAGAGGATGAATAGGACTGTTCTAGATAAGGTTAGGAGTATGCTTGCCACCGCCGGGTTGTCTAAAAAGTTTTGGGGTGAAGCAGTTAACACTGCTGTCTACTTGATTAACCGGTCTCCTTCTGTTCCCTTGAGTGGGAAGTGCCCTGAATCTGTTTTTTCAAACAAACCCCTTGATTTGTCTAATCTTAGAGTGTTTGGGTGTGCAGCGTATGTGCACCAACAAGGTGACAAGTTGGATCCTAGGTCTAAGAAAGGAGTCTTCCTAGGTTATCCCGAGGGTGTGAAGGGGTATAGGGTTTGGGATAGGAACCAGGTAGGTTTCAAAGTTGTGGTGAGTAGAAACGTTGTTTTCAATGAATCCGAGTTTCCTTGTCTGGTTAAGTCAGTTCCTGATTCTGAGTCTGATCCTAGTAGTACACCCGTTGAGGTGGAGTCCATACCACGTGCTGCTAGCCCTTTGTTTGCTAATCATGATAATGTTGTTTTGCATGATTCTAATTCTTCTGAATTGCATGATTCTGATTCTTCTGAGCATGATGCTACCACCACTTCGAGTGAGGTGGAGCATTCTCATGTGCATTCAAATGACAATGAATCGCATGATGAGAGTGTGGATGCTAGTGAGAATGATTTGCATGATTATCAACTTGCTAGAGATAGAAGTAGGAGAGTAATTAGGAGAACTGTTGATAGTATGCCTGATTATGCTTTCCATATGTGTGATACTTCTATGTTTGCTTTCTCTGTGTTTGAGACCCTTGAGCTTAACGAACCTAGAACCTATAGAGAGGCCCTTAAGTCTAATGAGTCCGCTAAATGGCTTTGCGCCATGGAAAGTGAGATGGAGTCACTTAGAGCGAATAAGACTTGGACGTTAGTTCCTAGACCGCCCAATAGTTCCGTTGTTGCCTGTAAGTGGCTATTTAAGGTTAAGGAAGAGCCTAATGACATTAGATATAAGGCTAGGTTAGTAGCTAAGGGATTTACTCAAAAGGAAGGTGTTGATTATGCTGAAATCTTTGCTCCTGTAGTTAAATTTACTACGATTAGAATGATGCTTGCTCTTGTTGCTCATAATGATTGGGAAATGAAGCAAATGGACGTCACCACTGCATTCTTGCATGGTGATTTAGATAAGAAAATCTATATGTCGCAGCCTGAGGGCTTTGTGGATCCCATGAAGAGTGATCATGTGTGTTTGCTTAGGAAGGCCTTGTACGGCCTGAAGCAGTCCCCGAGGCAGTGGAATATCAAATTTGACCAATGCATGTCATCTTTGAAATTTCACAAGTCCGAATGCGACCATTGCCTATACTTTAAAAATACTTCTTCTGTGCCTGTATTTTTATTGCTATATGTGGATGATATGCTTATTGTGAGTCCTTCGGGTGACTCCATTAAATGTGTGCAAAAGCGTCTCAGTGAGAACTTTGCTATGAAAGACCTAGGTGATGCCAAAAGGATCCTAGGCATTAACATTGTTAGGGATAGGAGTAAGCGTGTGTTAGTTCTCAATCAGATTTCATACATTGAAAAGATTTTGAGTAAATATAACATGCATTCCGCTACTCCCGTTTCTATCCCGATGGCGTCTCACTTTGTGTTAAGTAAGGATCAGTCTCCTAAGACTGCTCCTGAAATTGCTAAAATGAAATCTGTGCCTTATTCCAATGCTATTGGGTCCGTGATGTATCTCATGGTGAGTACTAGACCCGACATTGCCTATGCTGTTAGTTGCTTGAGTAGGTATATGTCTAATCCTGGTTTAGATCATTGGAATGCTCTTAAGTGGTTGCTTAGGTATTTGAAATCTTCTGTTAATCATGGGTTGGTTTTCACTAGGTGTTCTGAGGGGGTTAAGTTGAGTGGGTATGTGGATTCTAATTTTGCTAATGATAGAGACAATAGGAAATCCACTACCTCTTATGTGTTTACTCTTTGTGGGTCGTGCATTAGTTGGAAATCTCAACTTCAACCCATTGTTGCCCTATCCACCACTGAGTCTGAGTATGTGGCCGCTACCGAAGCGTTTAAGGAAGCCATTTGGCTTAAACGTCTCCTAACGGAGATTGGTAGCCTTAAGCAGGATATTTGTGTGTTTTCTGATAGTCAATCTGCTATTCAATTGTGTAAAAACCCTGTTTTTCATGATAGAACTAAGCACATTGACGTTAGATTTCATTTTATACGTGATATTGTTAGTGCAGGTCATATCAAGTTGATTAAAATTCCATCGGAGTTTAATCCTGCTGACATGGGGACTAAATGTCTCTCGGTCGAAAAGTTGTTGTCGTGCAAACGCACGTTAAACATTGATTGCGGATAAGTTGCCTGGTGATCTTACCCCTCTTTGCCTGAATATGTCTTTGTGATTATTCAGGCAATCCAGCGATGATGAGTCTCATGTTTGTTTTAGAGTTTTGACTCTACACCACTAAGGTCCAATAAGGTGGAGAATATGTTGGTATTGGCCCGGCATTATTATAAGCCCAATTGCAAATTGAGGAGGTTTCCAGCCCAAATACCCTTGGTATTTTGCCGACCCATTCTTTTCCCCTATCGGCTCTCTACTCACGCGATTCTTTCCTCCCTTTCACGGCTTCAATGCGTATCTCTGGTTATGGTAAGCTTTCCTTGTATGGCGTCCGAGCTTGGCCTATTTATACCCCTTCCTTGCCTTCGGTTTGGAGTCGGCCGAAACCCTACCTCCCAAATATCTCCTCAGTGGAACCCTTTTTTGCAGTTGGCCGGAATTGTCTTGAAGGTTGTTGCCCATAACCTCCATCTTTAGGCTTTAGTGGTAGTTATCATCCTTTGTGGATGAAATTGGAGACCTGAGCTGGAAGAGAAGCCTTCTAACATTATCATTGCAAAAATGCATGCTACCAACTTGTAAACATTGTTTGGTTTATAAACAGGATGGATGGAGGACAATGGGATCCATCAAGCAGATTAGCATACAATTTAAGGGACACAATTTCTCGTTCCACTGTACAGGTAAAAAAAGGGACTAAAATATTTGCAATTAACCTGCATAAGTGATTTTCAGAGTTGGAGATTTCAGCTTGAAGTATGATTTCGCGATTATCGTTGACAGGTGTCCTACATCAGCTATATATAAGACCTTGAGATGAACATATGACTAGGTTGACCTTATAGGAATATGGGATAAACAACTGACCTTTTGGGACATGAAAGTTCTATTATCGACTGGAATTTGTCTATAAACGTATGTTTTGTCTATTTCTAGATACTTCGATAGTCAGATAGTTTTTATATTTATATATACTATTTTTGATAATTTCATCTCTTATAGCAATTGATAATTTCATTTTCAATGAAGCCAAAGACTCACTATTTTTTAGCTTGGAAAGATGATGAAATAAAGCAAAATAGCTCACTAAACTGTTTGCTCTTTGTTATGAAGCAACATGCAGTCCGTGTAATTTTTGATGGAATTTTCATCATGAGACAAAGTGACCCTCATTACTATGAGACACAAGTTTAGATGGAGTAGTTTATTGAGAAATTATTGCTCCACATGTTTTTACTTTGCATTCGATACAGGGTGAAAAAAATAGTACTCCATATTTACCCTAAAGCCCATAACAAAGTTAACGTTTTGTGGCTTTTTGTGTGATGGTGGAAGGTCGTGGAGGTCATTTTTCTTAATTATGTCTAGTGTCATAGATGTCTTTTATCTTAACTTGTTGCTGATTTTCTGGTAAATCTAAACCATAAAAAGTATAAAATGCACATCACGAAGTTATCTTTATCCTCTATTTTATGAACTACAGGTGTATCCCAAGTCTTGGACTGCACTGTATGTGCCGCTGGACAATGTGGGAATGTGGAATATAAGGTCTCAGAACTGGGCACGGCAATACTTAGGCCAACAGCTTTACCTTCGAGTTTATTCACCGGCAAATTCCTGGAGAGATGAGTATCCCATTCCCTCCAATGTTCTTCTTTGTGGTAGAGCATTAGGTCATAAACCAAACCCTCCCATCCTCTTCAGTAAACAGCAATGATTGATCGTGATATAGAGATTTTGGCATCTTCAGTTTATTTGTTTCTTCCGTCAGTGAGAGTTACTGTGAAGATGCCTGTTGATGCCCTATAGGGCGGCTGCAGGCAGTTAGTTCCTATTCACACGATTCTGTTGTTGTAATTCATCTTTTCGCAGAAGACATTCAAAAGTGATATTTAACATCCTGAATTGCTCAACCATTTGTTTGTTCATTATTATGAGCATCCAAGACTGAAATTTCGGGTAGAACACTCCTTTTGTTGAATCTTTAATTTGTAGGTCTATCATAGAAAGTTTAAAGAATGAGTTGTATGTCTAGGTAGATGGAGTCTTGCAGGGACGGAGCCAGAACTCAGTCATAAGGGGGCCAAGAACAAACACAAACACTAAAGAAAAAAATCTCTAAATAGGACAAAAAAAGTTTATAAACAGGATTATCATTGTTTTAATCTCAAAATAGGACTTATTGACTCCTATTTTGGCAAACTTTAATCAAATAATTTTTAATAGAACTAAATAAGATCTATTCAAGGAGTAAAACATATTTTTTCATATTTTTAATGAGGAATGATCCTTTCAGAATTACATGACGGGATCCACCATCCGGATGTCTGTGTTTGATGTGCTTCCGGATGGATTTTTTGGGTGAAATTTTATGACAATATTCTTCATGATGTGTAGATTATTTACATCTAATTTCAGTTTAAAATTCAATCGACAAATCAGTTAAATAAATAATTGAAAAACACTGTACCAAAAAATATTAAAAAAAATTCAGTGTTTTTCCATAATTTATTTAATTGACTCTCCAATTGCATGTAAGCTGAAATACGATGGATATAATATACACTTTATGAAATACATGTTAAAAAAAATTCATCAAAAAATTCTACCCGAAAGCATCTCACATAAAAGCTTCTATCGAGTAGTTTTGACCCAATCTTTACTGATTATTTCATTTATAATAGTAGTATTACTAAAAAATAAAAAAGTTGGGAGGGGCCATGGCCCCCCTACCCATACACATAAATCCGTCCCTGGAGTCTTGTATTTCATTCTTTTAGTAATTGTATTTGCATATTCTCATGAAAACAATATGATACTATGACATTTTTATGCATTTAATTACACATTATTTGTGTCATATTATGTGAAGATAAAATGTTACTACTATGTGTGAAAAATGTGAAGTGATATGTAAGTAATCACTTGTCACATCTAACCCGGGGTGCTGGTCTCTGGACTACAAACTTGGAATCGGTATGGGCACCGGTCCAAATGTGGCATAGTTCCTCCCAGGTCTCCTAGCTAACACCTGACTACATCCCTTCTGGTATTGAGTGTCTATTTTATTTTTAGCATGGTTAAGAAAGTAGTGCTGAATGACTGAATCGGAACATACTCTGAGTTGCGCATATTCACGGTTATTATCCACCAAAAGTACTCACCAAGTCACCAGAAGTCCAGAATCATAATCGTGAGTAATTATATTGTGAATCCATTACCCTCTTGGCCTCTAGCCCTCTCTGATCTGGAAAATATTCTTCCCACTGTATTTTAAATTTTCAACGGAAAATGCAACCGAAATATATCCAAGCATTCTAGCGAAGCATGACCAGTCCCCTAATCATACGCCTGAGTTCTTAAACTTAAAATTTCCGAAGCAAGTGCAGGTGTGCAGCCGGTAAAATGAATGCCGCCAATGGTGTAGGCAGGGCGGTTTATTGGGATGAGTAGATACAAAGAATTTGTTTGGAGCCCGTTTGATAGTTTACACATTAAAACTTTACATGCAAAACGATTGAATGTAAAGTTTAGGACGGTAAAATAGTTTGGCAAATTTCCAATAATTTCTCCTTTGAGTTTAGATGGAGTAGTTTGGGGCCCGATCCAGTTGCATTAAGGATCACAGTTATCTCCTTTGAGTTATACGGAGTAATTTCAAATAGAATAAAGTGGATTATCAATTATATATACCTGCAAACCTTTTCAAATGCACACTACTCATATTAATTATTGATAATTCACAAAAAATTAAGAAAAAACCAACACCCCAACTAACACCAACAAATAAACTAAACAAAAACTAAACTAAAACATCAATAAATTCAATAAAACGTTAAGCACAAGTATTCTGCCGACAGTAAAAGCACTTTTTGCAATCAGCCGTGTTTAAATAAAAGCATTCTTTGGGAAAAAGTGATTAATAGTAAAAGTTTGTAGTGTTTGGTAAAATAAGTGTTTTTTGTGTAATAGAAAAAGTAAAAAGTAGATTCCACACGAAAACCGAGAAAGTAAAAGTTGGTAGTGTTTGATAAAATAAGTGTTTTTTTCTTAAAAAAAAGCCACAATCACTTATTTTAAGTGATTGCAGTTTAAGACGATTCCATTTATATAGAATCCGGTCAATCCACTAAACGTTCTAGTAAAAAAATCATTATTTTCAAGATAAGTGATAGGAAATAGGAACCAGAAAGTGAATTTGTAAATTTCGTACGGAGTATTAGAATTTCAAAAATTAGATCGTAATTGGCAAGGTAGGGGACTTTTGGACGTCTACACCAGAGTCTGAAGGAGTCAGCACTCTACGAGCGGCTACGACACCTATTTTTCCTCTGAAACACATGCACCGTTTAGAGAATTTAAGACTATTTGAGTTTTTTTTAATAAAAACTAAAACGGCCTTGTAATTTTGATTAAAAGAAATTAGAATTTTTGGGTGTTCAAGTGAACACTCTTGAACAATACCAGGTCCGCCACTGGGAGCAGGGATAAAAAACCACACGGATTGCTTTTTGCTTTTCCATATACTGGATTTGGAGAACTAGGAATGCAACAAGGTTTGAAGGGATCATTCCTTAAGAGGAGGACGTTTGCACAAGGATTAAGTACATTGTGTACAAGATTTGGTATAGTATATATTCACGTGACTTGGTTGTGTTTTGAGAACTTTCATGCTGCTCATCACCTGTTTTTTGTCATGAGTGTCTTTGTTTGATCTTGGTTGCTTTAGATAGCCGAGATAGCATCTTGTTTTTGAGGTGATGAGTTATCCAAGCTTTGGATAGCCTTCAGTTTTGCTCATATTTTTGTTGTACTGATAAACTCTTTTGGATGATTTTTATATATACTTACATTTCATCAAAAAATCGAAAGATTAAAAAAATTAAACAATTAGTGAATATTTACTTAATCAAGTAATGTGAGGGAATTGTTACTATATGTACACCCTTAGCTAGGCTATGCGTAATGATAGCGATGAAAACACCAAAATGGATGTTTTCACCCCAAAGTATGTTGCAGCCCTGAAAAAAATGTACACAAGGGTGCTGAAGTGAGTTGGAGCACCCTTGGGGTGAGAATTAGCAACCCATATCCACATATAAAAATGACACTCAATTAGTAAGGTCTGAGAACTCCAGTACCGACTGAACAATTAACCGGGGATGAAAGTGTAATCCATATTCACTCGAGGCAATATTAGCGGGACAGAGGAAATATATAATAAAAAAGGAGTAAAGGGTCAGTTTGGCCCTCGAAGTTGCATAAAAGGGGTCAAATACGTCCTTATATAGAAGATTCTGTCCGTATGTGCCATTTGAGGCGGTTCCCGGTGGAATTTTTTGATAATTTTTTTTAGCATCTTATTCATTAAGTGTAGTTTACTCATACCAAATCTAAGCTAAACATTCAATCGGGAAGGCATTCAAATGATTTTTTGATGATAACTGCGTCTTTAACTGCACAGTTATCTTCAAGAATTCATTTGAATGTCTTCGCGATTGAATTTTTATCTGAACTTTGGTATGAGTGAACTAGACTTACTGAATAAGATGCTCAAACAATTTCATCAAAAAATTCCATCGGGAACCGCCCAAATGGCGACGGACGGATAGAACCTTCTATATAAGGACTTATTTGACCCTTTTATGCAACTTCATGGACCAAATTGACCCTTTACTCAATAAAAAAGTAAGATTTTGTGCATTTAATTAAAAAATTGTGTTGAGGGAATAAATTGATGGAGAAGGTTGCTATAACTTTGTTTAAAAAAATACGGAGTATATGAGATACAGATCAGAGTATGTAGTGTATGCTAATCACACATTCACAGGTTAATATGCACTCATAATTTATGTATTATTTAAATAAATCATAATTTTATTTATAACAAAAATATAAAAATATAAAAAATATAAAAATATCAAAAATATTTATAAATCGATAATAAAAATGGGAAAAATTAAAAAAATTCACATACACAACAATACTATGAGTACCATGCATGTGTTTCTATGTTATACCGATCGAGTATGTTGTAAAAGATTATACGTAGTACACTAGTACATCAAAACATGATGTACACCCTTATTTTAAAAAAAAATAGAGGGTATATAAGATACTACGTACGTATAGATCAGAGTAGTATCACAGGTTATTAATATTCATCACTTATCATTTATCAATTTTATAGATACGTGAATCCATAGTTGAGGCTGCATGTATATTATTACTCCGTAATTAAGACAAGGCGATTGTGGGCTGGTCATTGATGTGGGTTGCAGATGCATTAGGAAAAAGAAGAAGCAAATTGGCATTGAGCGCAGTGCAAAACAGCAGAATAAGCGACACCGTGACCGAGAGTGCGGACAGAATGAGCATTAGGATGTGCGCTTCTGTGCTCTTCACTTCCAGGGCGTACTTCGTTGACGCAATCGCCATCACCGTTACAGGAAATGAATATGCCCACCATACCACGTTGTATTTTCTCATTGACTTCTTGAACAGTCCTGGTCGACATATCTGCAGCTTCAACATACAACAAATAAGTACATCACTCTCATTACAAAATAATTACGGGATTAATAGAATTTTTTGGAAAAGATTTACCAAATTTCATGAAGGATTTTAGTTTGAGAATATGATGGAATAAAGCAAAATGACTCACTAAACTATCTGCGCTTCTTTGTTATAAAGCAACAGCCAGTCATGCAATTTTCAACGTGATTTTCACCCTGGGTGTACGAATTATAGTATTTTATATCCTAGGAAATATTATATTAAATGTAAATATTGCTTTAGTACACTGGGTCATCCAGAAACAGACTCTCTGTGCTTTAGTATAGGAGTAAGATTGCGTACATCCGATCCCCTCACCCCACCATAGGTGAGAGCCTTTGCGGCATTGGGGTAATGATAATGATGATGATGATGATGATGATGTCAAATTTGTACCAATTGTTTTTTGGCACGAGCCATTTTGCACGAAATCATATATGGATCAATCCGTGCCAGTCCCGGCCACTTGACTTTATCGACTTTCCTTTTATGTTTGTCCCAAAAACTTTGTCATTTTTCTTTTAAACTAATGAATTTGTGGCTTTGTTCATTTATCTAATCTCCACAAACCTCAATCATAAATTATTTACTTTTTAAAATTTTCACACAATATAAAGTTGACAAAGTTGAATGGGACGATGATAAAACATAGTAGCATTTTTTAATTTCAAAAGACAAACTCTTTGTGCATTTTTTAAGTTTAAAAAAGACCGTACGTTGCGACTTGCCAACCTAATGACATGACAATTTTCAATGACATTACATTTGTGACTTTCTTAATCGATGGTAAATTCTGCCTATTGATTAGCAATTTGACTAGTACTTAGGTATATATTTCTGAAAGTATAAAGTATAAATCCTATTTTTTTAAGACTGCTTTTGTTAAATGACATTGTCATATTATATTAACATTATAAATAATTTTATTTACGTGTTTGTAAAAGTATAATATGCTTGAGAATAAAAAAGGCTTGTATGAATTCCCTCTTTCGGTGTGACATGCTTATCACCGGCCTCAGCTTTTGTCGTCCAAATATACTCCCTCCATCCCTAATTGTTGTTCCAAAGTAAAGTGGCACGGTGATTAAGAAAGTGGGAATTGTGTGGTGGAGGGTTGTGCAGAAGAGAGAGAAATGTTGTGAACCACAAATTCTTTGCAAAAAAGGAAAAGTAAACTTCTTTTTAGGACGGACGAAAAGGGAAAATTGGAACTTCCTTTAGGGACAGAGGGAGTATCAAATTTTGATCCAGGAATTTCCACCTTATATAATACGGACTATTGCTTGCGTCCCAAATAACAATCAATCACTTCGTACTATATATGCAACAGTCCAACAGAGTAATATGTGGAATTAAGGTCAGTTTAATACTTCGTATTTCCTTTGTGACATAGATATATAGTATCAAAATAATGTCGAAATACATTTTAAATTTCATATCAATTGTCAAAATAATGTGACAAAATTACGCACGCACATGATGTTATTTTTAGCATGGATGTGTCTAAAGTTTTATAGTTTAATAAGTAGTACACGTATTTTCCCAAATTAAACTGGTTGCTCGAACACACATTAAAGCACATTTTATATAGGTGATCACGTGGTTTAATTAGATTATATGTTTGTCACTTCTTTCAAAACATTTTGTCGACATCATGGGAGAAACTTAGGAGGATATGACTAAATGATAGGAAGTGATTAAAAGTTGAAATTAATCAAGTGAAGTTATAAGTGCATAGCTTTCATTCTCTATCTACTCAATTATGAACAGAATTGATTAAAGACTTCGGATATTTTAGTAATATACGGAGTAATACATAACAATTATATAAAAATTAAAAATGTAATTATTTTTAAATTTATTTTATTTAGTTTCACAATTCATCATATTTAAAATCCGTTTTGTAACCGCAAGTTGCAGATTTATTAAACACGCAAGTTTTGATTTCGCGACATGTTTGTGTAATAATAAAAACAAGTAGGGTTGTAGCCATGTTTCTTTTGTTTTTGTTTTTGTTTTGTGTATAATTTTTTATTTACTTTATTAATAAAATACTTTACAAATACTAGGTATAACTTTTTTCATAAATGAGCTCATTCAACCATTTCAAGTAGAATATCACTTACTATCGACGTCGAGTTATTGCCCAAATCATCATGAATGGAATAGTGCTCTCCCTCCAATCTACCTAATAATCAACATCCAACCTCCCTATTCATCGACACATATTCTTGACTTCAAATTAAAGACAGAAAAAGAGGAGGTAATAGAAATAATGCTACGTATTTAGAGTAGGAAATTAGGTTGTGAATATACTTACCATTCATGATTCCCCTAAACTTTATTCTTATATCCACGACTTTCTCTCCATCTGATTGGCCTATTGCCCTATGTCATATGACTTGAGAGATAGTCCTGTAAATTTCGATTGTATCCGTTATACTTCGTAACTTATAAGAATGTTTTGTTTTCGAGTGAAGTTTGCTGTTCTGATCTGATATGTTGAAGTATGGTCCGGCCTAGTTTGGTCTGAATTGACTGGTATGATAAATGTCTAGTCTTGGTGTATTTTATAACTGTTCAAATCTGAATCTGGTCTATTTAAGTTTGATCTGGTCTGTTAAAATCTAATCTGGTTTGATATGAGATTGAAAATAGTCCAAAAGAAAACATCCAACTTTACTACTTACAAAAGTGGTCAACTTATATTTGTCTATTTGAAGGACCTATCCACCGTAAAACACATTTTACGACACAAAGCTTACTAGAAAATATGACGCCGACATCAAAATTTTCATCATTGTAAAAGTATTTTATGTTGACAATTTATTAGTTGCATGACCAAATCTACAATTTATTGAAGTTACACCATACAGAACGGGCACTATGAAAAGTTATTAGATTATAAAATACTCCCTTCGTCCCATTTATATCGTCTCAGTTCCTATTTACTTGGTCAACACAAATAACTCTTAATTTCTTACTTTATATATCAAAAATTTATCAAATTTGATTCTGAATGTAAAACTTTAAATGTAGTTTCTGAATATGTAATTTTTTTTTCCTAAAAATAATTAGAGTGCGGACATGGATCTGTTTGCTTTATCGTCAGTCAAACATCGTAAACCGTAAAGAGACAATATATATGAGACGGAAGTAGTAGTTAAAATATCTACAAAATTTGTTAAAATCACCAAAAGCTACAAATATATACCAATTTACCTTGTTTTTTTGTTAGACATTTTTGTTTTAGGTGGAAAAGTGCATAAATGGAAAAGATTATTAGTTTCATGATAAGATTGTCAAGTAAACGAAGTTACAAGATTAATACGGAGTAATTTTCATAAACAAAACTTGCGAAGTAAATCAGCAAACCTCATACAAAATACGGAGTATATAACTTCAAACACCTAATATCATTTGGGAGGTATATTCTTAGGCGTTACCGCATAAATACTGTGTACAACGATTTAGTTATTAAATTTGTGTAAAACTTTTAAACTATACGAAGTATACTTGATGAAAATATTTTTAACAAATAACATTTTCTTATATTATTCATATTTTAAATAATTTCATACCACGTATTAATTATTAAGACCCGGAATTTCATGCTAAAAGATCAACCTGATAGGAGGAGTAACCCAAAGTCCTATATAGTGTTTTATTGTTTTAAAACTTTCCGGTGTGGGACAAATACTTCAACACGCCCACTCAGGCTGAACCGGGCTGAACAATATCGGGGTGTATAAATGGGACAAACAGACCCCTTAACAAGCTACCCTTAATCATGAGTGCTAAACAAGTTTTCAAACTACAACCGAACCTGTCTCTGATACCATGTTAAGATCCGGGATTCCATTCTAAAAGTTTGACATTTTAGGATGGAACCCCAAATCTTAACATGGTATCAGAGCCAATTCAGGTTGTGGTTTGATTGCTTGTTAATTAGCACCCATGATTGCGGGTAGCTTGTTAATGGTCTATTTGGCCCATTTATACACCCTGATATTGTCCAGCCCGGTTCAGGCTAAGGGGCGTGTTAAAGTATTTGTCCCACATCGGAAAACAATAAAATAATAAAACACTATATAAGGCTTTAGACTATTCCCCCGATTGACCTTTTAGGATGGAACCTCGGTCTTAACATTAATAAATAATCCTATGCACGCCAAATCTTGATGAATACGGTTTCACTTTACAAACTTTATTCGCATATCAAATTTTTATTATATTTTAGCTCGAATTTAATTTACACAACTTTTAATGTGGTTTTTGCTAGTTTAATCTGATTTAACCTAAAACCCCTAAATTACAATTCAATTGAGAAAAGAGGATCGGAATATCGTTGATCTATTGACCAAGAAAAATTCACCATCAAAGGTACGTACGCAGTTACGACGTTATTACGCACCAGGCAAAAGAAGAGGAAGAGCGACAGGTAGAACAGCATCTTTGACGAAACGTCGAAGCTCCCACAGATGGAGTGCCATGCTATGCTCGCCATGCTCGGCGCCGCGATGAACAGAAAGAACACCGGCCGGAGCATCACCGGGATGGGGCTGCTCCCCGGCAACCGCTGATACAGCGTCACGAACAGCACCAAATAGTGCCCCATCCCCAGCGCAAACATGCACACCGCCGTCTCCCTCCACCCCATGCGAGCGGCCGCCGCCGCACCCACCAGGTTCCCGATGACCGACAGCTGGCACGTCGGGTTCGCTATCCCGGAGAGGAACCGCTTCCCCTTCGTGAACCACTGGCCGTAGATCTTGAGGTCGAGCGCGACGATGGGGAGCACGAACACCCACCAGAGCACCATATGGTAGCCGTTGATCATGACACCGGTAAGGGCGGCGGCGGCGGTGGGGGGTTGGAGGAAAGGGGAGGCTTGGAGCAGGAAAAGGCAAGAGATCCAGGGCGCGAAAAGGTAGTTGACGTGGACGTGGTGTCGGAACTCATCCTTAACCATGTCGAAGCGGAGGAGGCAGCGGACGGCGTAGATGACGGAGAGAAAGAGCAGGACGGAGACCGCCAAGGACCAGATGAAGACGAAGGCGGTGGAAGGCAGCAACTTGCGCAGCACTTTCCCGGTAGCGGCGTTATTAACGGCGTCTCCGTCTGATGACGACAGCTCGCACAGCGTTTTCCAGAGTAAGGCTTGGCTGGACAGGGAGAGGCTTATTCGGAAATAGCCCGCATGCAATCCGCTCAAGATTGGATAATTATTATTAGTTCGACTCTTGCCGGCGTCCGTTTTGACGATGACGGCGTTATTTACTACCACAATCTGATGATGGGTCGTCTTAGATTCTTCGTTGAGCTTTGCTTCCATTGGAATTGAGTGTAAAATGGCATTATTCATCATCAAAACTAGCTCAGCTAGCAGCTAACTTTGCTTATATAGTAGTGTTCGATCGATGCGTAAATAGATGGGGAATGGAATGGAAGTGGCTGGCTGACTAGGGTACAGTCCGAAAAGAAAGGAATATTATTCGTAGAAGCTAACGTACGGCTGGGAAGTGGCAGGCTGAGTAATAAGCCTCCCAACATAGTACAGTATCTGGACTTCTATTGGTCGTGGATGAACTGCGAGTTGTGTACAGCTGTGATTCTGCATAATGGAACTGCCGATTAAAGTGGACTTTGATCCAATTGGGTGGCCCAAGTATATACTCACTCAGGCAATCGTAATTTTAATCCTTTTTTTATGGACAATTGCCGGAGTAAATACATTTTTCTATTCTAAAATAGGACTATCTATTTTTATTGTCTACATAAATAGGATTAATTACTTTAAATTTTTGGCTGCACTAGACTTTAAACATGACAATGTTTACCAAGATTGGCTGTAATGACTAATCTATTTTTATTGTTTCTAATACTTAGGAAATGTTTGCAACAACTTAAAAAAAACACTTTTCAGCTTTTGGCTTAAAAAAACACTTATTTATTAAACACTGCCAATTTTTACTTTTTCTCGGCTGGCGTGTGAAAAGTGTTTTGCCCTTTTCTATTACACAAAAGCACTTATTTTTCCAAACACTACCAACTTTTACTACTAATTACTTTTTCCTTACATCTCCAAAAAAGCTTTTTTAAGCAGAAGAAGCAGTTGCAAACACTCCCTTAACCTTTTTTCCTTTTATTCAATGTATTTTTAGTTTTTATTATTTCTTTCTCTTCTGCATAAATCTCAACTACACAATTCTATTTTATTACACTAAAAAATTACGAGATTGACACAAATTTGGCATGAACATACCAACGAATTCGTGCTAAAGTGGTTTTGGCACAAAGTTGGCATATCCCTGCCGAATCCTCTATTAATTTTGAAGAAATTTTGCCAAATATTTCTGTCAATCTCGTGTTATTTTGTAATGTTATTTCCCGTGCCGATCTAATTCGGCAAACCTTTGAGGAACATAGGGAGTACATATAGATAGAGGATGAATTACAAACACCTCATAATTTATAAACTACAAACTCATATTGATCATATGATGATTTGATCTAAAGACTATAGACGCGCAATGACAATTTGGTAATAAAACCAAAATTTTCTGGATGCAGCACTTTGAGCATTAATATGCAATTGCTTATTTCATTTCAGAATAATATGCAACACTTTGAACATTATTATGCAATACAAATAGCTTAAAGATGCATTGTACAAATATTTGCACATCAAGCACAATTTCTTTTGTAATATTAAATGCTCTTTTTGGTATCTAATGCACAATCCCACTTTTTCGAGTCCCACATAGCGTTTTTTTACTCCAAAGGGCGTCTGGGGGAGGAGCCTGGGGGGGTGGAGTAATCAGGGTTGAAACTCACTCCATCGAGTTTCGAACCTGTATGGGAGAGTGAGTCGACGACCAGCTGGACTGGACCGCTCCCTCTAGTCCCACATAGCATATATAATGAAACATATTATTCATAATCACATTTTTTAGAAACAGATAAACCCATAAATTCATGAGTTAAAAAGAGTTGGTACGCAATGTAAGTAGTCATTGGATAGCAGGACATAGATAGAACAGGTCATATAAGGTACAGATTAACATGAAATTCACAAACATTTGCGATTTAACTCCTAACACGTGTAGAAATTGATCTGATCACATCTTGTCGTATTTAGTTCAGTTTAAAGCATTTTCTAGCTATGTCGTTGGAAAGATCTTATCGAGTTCTAAAACTCGTTTTCAGGCGTCGGTTTAAAATACTATGGGAAAACTATCTAATGAACCGAATTTAAAATTCGAGACTGTATTTATGCTAAATATCCTCCATTTATGCTGAAAAAGCTAAATCACAGAGTTCAGACTTCGTATTTGTGACATTCAGGTTCTTCCGTTTCAAGCGCATTATATCTTGTTGGAAAGATCATTTTGAGTTCTATAGCTATTGTTTCAACTCAATTTACAAAGCATTCAGTATAAGGTACAGATTAACCTCAAATTCACAAATAATTCCGATTTAACATGAATCCCAGACTAATTGAGTTGATCCAAAAACTTTTGGCTAAGCTTGTATTTTGCGTCCATTTACTCTAGAGAGAAGCTAAAACTGAAGTTCTGATCACTTGTACTTCATCGACATATTTTGGGTATTCATATCAAAGCTCAAACCTTCTCTCGTCTTGTTTAAATATCTGATTGTTGGAAAAGTTGGAACTTTCATGAGAGATACGTATTACTCAGAGATAAAAAATCATTGTAGAGTTGACCAAAACTTGTGTAGTATTTGACATGATCATATAATCTTTTATTTTATCATAAAGAAAGCTTTGAACTCGTTGGAAAGAACTTAACGATTTCTAAAGCTCGTATTAAGTCTTCGTTTCAAAATACTATAACATTGTTACCTAATGAGTTGAATTTCAAATTCAAGATTGTATTTACACTAATTTGAAACTTATTCTTGTGTGGTATATATGAGTGTAATTTGCTCCAGAAGATTACCAGTGTTGAAGAGAATTTCCGAATAAAAGAATTAGAGATGCAAGCTGAAATCAAGAGTTGTGTTCGTGGGATTGGTCTTTTGAAACTCCAAAATATGGAAGAGGAACTTAAGATGTCAAAGAAAGGCAATAGGACTGATATGCACTAATTAGTAGTGCATAAATGTATATTTTTATGTTTGATTTGCGTGTATTGTTTACAATTTTTATTAGTTTGTAAACATTTGTTTTGTTTGGTTTGTAATTGTTTTTAGATTCCATTTATAAGTTGTAAAGTAGTGGTAGAGTTTTTGGCAAGGAAAAGGAGGAAAAACAAGAGGAATGTTGTCCTGAGACACTTACCCGGTCGGGTAGGAATACTCACTCGGTCGGGTACGATTTAACAAGTGAAAGTACCTGGAAAATCACTGGACCCGGTCGGGTCCCCTACTTAATTGACCCGGTCGGGTCAGATGTGACCCGGGACAAAACGATGTGCTGAAACACAAGAACGTGGAAGATTATCTGATTTTGACATGCACCCGGTCGGGTGGGCACTTGACCCGGTCGGGTACCCGGCCCAAGGTGTTGAAAAACACCTATAAATAGCACACTTTTCCTTCACAAATAATCATTCCTTCTTCCATACTCTTAAGCTCAGTTTAGAATAATATTTCTTTTATATTTTTATAGCATGTTTAGTCTCCAAATGAGGAGCTAAACTTTCATTTCTTGGTGTTGCTCTTGACTCTTGTTGATTATTAAGTTGTGAGTTATTTTCTTAACTTCTTCCCTTGAATATTAATTCTTCCCTTAATCTATCTATATATTAATGTTGGGGAGTGTTGCTAAGATGACAATTAGTTAACATCTCGACATTAGTTATAGTAGTATTTATTTTCTTCCTCTATATATTAATGTTGGGGAGTGTTGTTAAGATGACAATTAGTTAACATCTTGACATTAGTTGTAGTAGCATTTATCATCTTTAATATTCTTCCTTGAATATTAATTAATTCTTATTCATATTTCATATTAATATTTTGAACATTACTTAAAGGTTCAACTAGTTTTGTTTCATATATTAATTGTTACTAGAATCGATAGATGAATACGCTTGTTAATCGATCGTTGATTGTTTCACAAGTAAGTAACTTCGGTTTATTAATGCACGGTCGTGGTTAATAAACTTAAGTGGGATTAATTTTGTTGGTTAAACCGAAACCGTTGTGTTGAGATTATCAATCTCAATTGATTTCATCAAGGAGTTAAGAGATTAAATGCTACTATCAAGTTGGTATATGGCAGTGTTCTATACTTGACTAATAGTAAGGGTTATTAATGAACGGTCGTTGTTAATAACTACCCTCGATGAATTGGATATACTCCTCGATTGAGTATTCGAGAGGGGATAAGTTATATACTCCGTATATAACAATGACCGACTAAAATACATCAACAAGTGGAAAAGAGCAGTGCCATGTTTTTTTTTATTCTTGAATCAAATCTCATATAAGTCATTCATCTTCGTATTTAATTAAATTAAATCACTCAATCCCAAAACCTCCCTTTATTTACTAGTTTTATTAAAAAAAAAGAATTATTCATTTCCCCGTGGATACAAACACTACTTCACCTATATATACTATGTATAAGTGGTAGTATTGAATATTATTTTGACGTGACAAAGTGCTCGTCAGAGTCAATCCAAAATAGTTGCTCCAAATAATACCTTTTAGAGACAAGAAATTTAGGGTTGCCCTAAATGTATTGAGAGCTTATAAGATTAGAGGCAACCAATATTTATATGATGCTGACGTGCACTATGTCGTGGTGTGCACTCAAAATAATATTCAATACAACAATTATACGTAGTATAATGAAGTAAGGTTCGTATCCGCAGGGAAAGGAATACTTCTCTTTTTATAACTAGTAATAAGGGGGGTTTTAGATTTGTTTTTGAAGAACTTTTGAGAATATTAAAACACAAAGATGAACGAGTTATGAAATGAGAAGGAGACTTGGTTTTGCTTTTATCCACTTAATGAAATGTTCGTCGATCCCGGTTATATCTTCAACTATCTTCCTCTCGAATACTCAATCGAGGAGTATATCCAGTTCATCGAGGGTAGTTATTAATAACGAGATGCGTTCATTAATAAAACTTACTATCGAGTCAATATAGAACAAGCGCCGTATATTGACTTGATAGTAGCAATAAACTTAAGATGAAAACGATTGAGATTGATAACCTCAACACAAGCGGTTTATTGGTTTAATCAATATAATTAATTCCCCTTGGCTTATTAATCATGAGAAGCATGCATTAACAACCCAAGTTTTACTACCATTGAAAGAACCGAATTAATAAAAAGCGTATTAACCGATTGATTCTAGTAATAATTAATATATGAAACAAAACTAGTTGATCCTTTAAGTAATGTTCAAAATATTAATATGAAATATGAATAGGAATTAATTAATACTCAAGGAAGAATATTAAAGAAGATGAATCCTACTATAGTTAATATCAAGATGTTAACTAATTGTCATCTTAGTAACACTCCCCAATATTAAAATAGAGGAAGAAATAGCTATTATTATAACTAATATCAAGATGTTAACTAATTGTCATCTTAGTAACACTCCCCAACATTGATATAGAAATAGTATTTATAGGAAGAATTAATATTCAAGGAAGAAGATTAAAGGGAATAACTCACAACTTACAAATTCATTAAGCTTCAAAGTAGCAAAACCAAGATGGAAGAGTTTAGCTCCTCATTTGGAGACTAAGCATGATAGAAAATATAAAGAAAACACTAATCTAAACTGAGCTAAAGAGTATATGTGAATTGGTGATTTTATTGTGAAGGAAAGAGGTGTATTTATAGGCTTTTGGGAGCTGCAGGGTCTGATACCCGACCGGGTATATAGGATACCCGACCGGGTATCTCAGGAAATTGCCCAGAAAGTCACTTTTCTGGGCATACCCGATCGGGTAAGGGTATATACCCGATCGGGTATGTGACAAATCTTTATGAAAATTTGCTCCCACGATCATTTGTCTTCGGATTTGATTTGGACAATCGAATCAAGCAATTACCCGATCGGGTATAGGCAATACCCGACCGGGTACATGAGTATTTTTTCCAAATCGAAATCTTTCTTGTCTCCTTGCACTTTCCTTGATCTTTTAAGGTCCAATCTTGATCCCTTAGATGATCTTTGACCTGTTTAGCTCAGAAAAATCCTAATCTAACTAAATTACAAATAAAAATGAAAATAAAGTATTACACCAAAAGTGTGTAATTTCCACAACTAGAACTAATAAAAACTAGTTAAAAATACAATCGATCATACAATCGGAAATTACATGAATATCAGATGCTAAAAGGGACTTTTGGAGACAAGTTGCTTCAAAGTGATGCCTCTATAAACGATTTTTCTTGTAGTGATAATATAATTCTTTAGAAATGGATGTTATCTCTTATGCTTGTCAGCACCAAACTTGTGTGTAAGTGATATCATTCATCCATTAATATAATTAATTAATTAATTAATTAATTAATTAATTAATTAATTAATTAATTAATTAATTAATTAATTAATTAATTAATTAAGATGAGTGATTAAGATATGTTCTCGCTTCTCACAATAAGAGTTGTTCCCATTAGAATCACTTTCTGCACGCACATATAAGGGAGAGTTCAAATAAAAAAACTTTCTCATGCAAAGTGAAAATAAATCTTGTACATTTAATTCCAGATCTAATGGATCAGATCAAAATAACCCAACAATACATTAGATGTGATAAAAATGGTGGTAATTTCATAAATAAACTAATGTTTTTCCCACCATGAAAAAGCGCAACAGAAACATGTAATCATGCCTCACATTGAGCAAAAAGTGCATTTGTTCATGCTTTATATGAGAAGATGCCTTTTTATTTAACTCTATTAAACCAATGTAAGAGTGATACTTATACCAGAATATATTAAAGAATGCAAATTAAAGATAAAAAAACGTAACCGAATAAATAATAATAGCTGAAACACGCGAAGAATGTGACACGAAAACCTAATATAAAAGCTAACATCAAACATCGTGTATTATAGTGAACACAATGCATTCATTTAACTGAAATTTATATACTACATTGAGTGAATAAACTAACTTTACTAAGTGTGGAAAATATTTAGAGAAATACACTTAACTCAAGTTTGTAATGCCAGATTCAGAATACCAATTAAAATTGGGGGAGAAAATTGGATTATATAAAAATAACTGAAAAGGAAAAATGTGAGAAAGAAAACCATTATGAAAGGCAAAAAGGAAGTACACTGTATTATTTACTATGTATCTATGTGTTGGAATTGTTTGGCTTTCATTCAACTTTCAAATAAGCTCGTACTTGTGCAGTAGGGAAAAACTGAACTAGCTGTTGACATTGTCGTTGTTGTGATTATTGACATTTGCAACGTTTCCGGAATGGGACGGGTTCCCAATGAGTGAAGTTATAGCGGCAGCGAGCGCTGCTGTGAAATTGGGGTCGCTGGCCAAGGCATTGACAGTCTCGGCCAGCTGAGATGACTGTTGCGGAATTGAAGAAGAGGCTGGGTGAATACTCTCCAAATCCTGAGATAGTTGAAGGCCCGAGAATTTGGATTGGTTATACAAAACCTGCCCAAAGAGCTGAGGCAATAGTGCAACCGAGTTCGGGTTCGGGTTCGGGTTCGGGAAAGGGGTCTGGAATGGGTTCAAGGCTTTAGGGAGTTGGAGAGGGTTCGGGCTTTGGGTTAGGTCTAATGTGACGGTAGGAAACGGAGCGGAGGCGGAGATTGTTGCCATGCTTGAGGAACAAGGAAGAAGGGTTCTTGCTAAGAAGTTTGAGTTCATTAGCCCATCAGCACTCGGCATTGATCCGGAAAGTAGCATCTTTGCGGCGGAGGAAGTGGTGGATGCCATCGCCATGGCGGCCGGCGGCAGTGGATGGTTGTGGGTACCTTCATAGGTTGTGATCAAGATTGTCCGATCCTCTGCGCATCTTTGAACCTATCAAGTCAACATTAAAAACTTGTTAATGAATTACAATAAATTTTAAGCACAATTGCCTAATAGGGAATTATGTTAGTACTCACGGATTTAGTGACCACCTAAAACTATATTCCCATTTGATCACTTATTCAATTCTCATAACCAAGTAGTAATCCCTCCCTTCCAATTTTATTTGCAAAGTTAACATTTTTTGTTAAAGTTAAATCTTCTTTATTGACAACTAATTCAAATTTTAATAATTGAAATTTACTTGTTCAGTTACTATATTGAAATTTGTTGCAAATGCCAAATTAGAATATAATAAAAAAATTACATTTTAATTTAATGAATAAAATGAAACGATTTAACTAAAAAAGTTTACTTTGTAAATTAATTTGGAAGAGAGGTACTAGTAGGAGTTAAGGTAAAGTGACTTGTGGTCTTTTATGATAAGAAAATACTACGTATATACTCCGTTATTCAATTACTTGACCAACATGACAATATTGAGACTAAAACACGTTTGGATTCGAATATATTGGAAGATAACAATCGAATCAGATACAAATAGAAAATTAGATTCAATTTATAAAGGTATACTAAAATTCACGAGTCCTGTGAAATACGTCTAATAATTTACCATATTCGTATCGATTAAAATCAAAATCGTAAAATTCTACACGGATCCCAAGCGAAGTCGAGACCTAATTATAATTATGTTCAAGATAAGTCTCATGATCGAGTCTGTTCTGATTTGGTCTGGTCTGATAAATGTCTAGTCTTAGTGTATCTTATAATTACGGAACTCTGGTCTAGTCTAATTTGATCTGTAGGTCTGTTTAAGTCTATCTGATCTGATCTGGGACTGATATAGTCTAAGTAAAAACATCCTAAGAAAGTCTTAGTTGCCAATGCATGCAAGAAGATACTCAAAGCTCTATAAGCTCCATTATAAATGTGGGGAACACATAGAAATAGCTAGTAGTGTTATCACAATCTCAAAATTATTGTGAGTTATAAGTTAGCATACAGAAAAAAGAAAGAACATACTTGCTTCCGAACTGGGCAACCGGCGGCCATGGTGCACCGGTAATAAGCTCGAGGGCACGGGTTTCCCTTTGCCATTTTCTGTCCATACTTCCGCCATTGGCAACCATCGGTGATCTAGTATAAAACGTAACATAACATAAATAAACTTTATATTCAAATAGATTTAAGACTGGCTCAATTCCAATTAGAGAGTTTATGCCGCTAACAAGTTAAGCAATACATACATCTATAAAACATTCTCTACATAATTGTTGTGTTAACCCAAATAAATCTAATAAAATGTTATGTCTTTCAAAGTGAGGTCCTTTAACTCATCATCAATGATCCAATTAAGGATTGTTTAATCTTTCATTCATCATTAAGTTTTTCATGTCTAGATTAAAACATATGAACGTATATATGAAAATGGCCTTTAATTTGTGTAAGTGATTTTTTTGTTTTGTTTTATAAGCTAAATAAATTGATGGATACCAGTATAATGCATTCTAAAATATATATACGAACACTTGGTCACTTGGGAGGAAGTAATGCGTTTAAGTCTAATTCAAGAAGTCAGCTTTGACAAAACGAATTAATTACGCTCTCTATTAAATTACAAATAAGCACGTCTTATTGACCGCAATTAATACTTATAAGCTCATATATAGCTACAATTCCTTGTATAATCCCATTTAGATGTATTCCAGATAAACCTAGATTGAAGTCCTTCGATTCAAATACTTCCTAAATGAGATAAATCTAAAAAGAATTAAAACTAAGAGTACCTAAAAGGCTCATCGATCCAGAGTACAGACCAAACTAAACGAATTGAACCATGAAAAACCTAGGTCAACGCACATGATACATACCATGGGAGCCTCAGATCGAGCTCTAACGGAGACACGTGCTTTTCTCATGGTGGACTCACTTGCTTGGTCAACACTACCCCCACTTTTTGAAACCATCCCAGATCTCGCGACTTTGTTACCAGATCGCCAAACAGACCCTTTCTCTGGACTATCCTCTCTAGACGCATCATTCTCGTTAGTGTTCATCGGAGATTGAGGCCGGTCCTGGCCTCGCCCGCCGCTCCGCCCATCAGACAAAGATAATGAGGCACCCTCGTCTGCCTCCGCTGTTCGTCCTCCGCCGGCAGCAAGACCAAGATCCATAAGCTGACTTAGCCCTAGATCACGGCGGGTCTCCTTACTCGCGTCCTCTACTACTTTCCCTTCATTTATTTTATGTTGTTGCATTAAAGTCATCATATGCATCTGGAGTGAAGTGTAATCATTCGTGACCTGATTCAACGCGTCCCGTAAACGTAGGTTTTCCGTGTTAGTCTTTTCCAATTCAGCTTGTACAACCGCCAACTGAAACATAATATATTGTCATTATTATGGTAGGTATTTCAAAATGACACAAAAACCGAGCTCATTAGTCATAACCCTCTCCATAGGTAAATTAAAGTCAATGATAATATATTATCCTCATAATCAAATTAATGCAATCCCACAAATTACCTCGCTTTTAGCTCTTTTGTCTTCTGAATTAGGTGAATAGTCGTCTTCAACTATCGACTCATCGCTATTTGTGTTTGCGGTGAGAAGGTCCAATCTAGTCTGAAAATTCAATAAAAAAAGAATATTTGTGTGAACAACAAAGAGTTTTCAAAGAAAGTTACTTTTACACTATACAATTAGCCAGTCTCAAAACAAAAAGAAAATGCTGCGGGTTGATCACGGCGTCTTACGTTAACAGAGGAATCTTTAACGCCTTCGTCGGTGATGGGGTCTTGGGTGGTAGCTGCGGGTGCTGAATCGGAATCCTTTTGGTAGGAAAAGAAGTCCATTTCGTCTAAGGAGGTTCTTCTATTGTCATCTTCTTCTTGATCATGATGATGGTGGTGGTCGTTGGAGTGGAGGTTGACCGGGAACTGGATAGTGGGTGGCGGTGACCTACTGTTGACCGGAGACTCCATGAAAGAGGAGGAGGAAAGAAAATCAGGATCAGGCTTTATGATGGGGTCATAGAGAAATCTGATGGGATCTGGATCAAAGGAGAGTCCACTGCTAGAGGCCATTTATGGAAGGAAGATCAGATGAGATTGAAGGGAGCGAGAAAAGGGAAGAGAGTGGTGTGGGAAGTAAGGATCGGTTTGAATGCAGCTGTGGACTCGGCAATAAACCAGGGAAGTTTAGACTAAAGAAGGAAGACCAAATACACTGTGGGGTACACCCAACTGACTTTCGTACGTACAATAGGAAGACTTGGCATTCCAAAAATTTATTGGAGTTCTCTTAGATTTTTTGTGGGAATTAATTTAAGAGTAACAAAGAAACAAATCATTATGAAATACGAAGTAGATTTTATGAAACTATGTAATTTCAATTTGTGGTTGGATAAATATACTCCGTACAAAGCATGAATACCATATATTTTAAAATGAAAAAAAAAATCACTAATATTACTCCCGTAAAAAGCAATGACAAAATTAAGTGATTTTAGTAAATATTAGTGATGTGGTCACTATGATGCAAATGTGCACACAATTATAGTCGTCATAGTTATTATGGGACATTTTTGTTCATTACTTTTTTATCACTAAAATTTAAGGAAAAGTTTCTTTTAAAATTAATACTACTTTCATCCCGGCTTAAGTTTTCTATTGCTAAATGGCACGACTGTTTTTAGATAATATTTAAATACTTGTATTTCGAGGATATTTTATGAAATAATTGTGATGAGTATATAATATAATTGAGTCATTGATAAGAACAATGATGTTATAGATATATTATTTTTCATGTCTAATAATTACGTAGTATATTGTATTTTAAGACTCCTAGCTCTTTCTTAAAATAGAAATTGGAACTTTTGATTGGTACGTCAAAAGAAGAAAATAAAAACTTTAAGTCGGGATGGAGAGCGTATATAACATATTATACCTTCAACGTACGCACCAAATTCTTATATTATATATTATTTTTAATAATTTATCTAAAGAATTCTTTGTAATTGTATCCAAATGCTTTGCACAAAATTATGCAATCTCAAGCTTTGTGCTTCTTTTAAACTACATAGTGTCTTTTTCAATTTTAAGACTTCATCATCATGCCGAATAAGCATTTAAAATACCGGATCAACATCCAAATTAAAGTATTTGAAACCAATATTTCATCCACAAATTATACTACTGTGTGATCGAGATATAGTGAGCAGCCTACTCCTAGACATGAAATGATGAAATGACATAATTTTACGTTACAATTTGCGTTGTCTCTTTCTTCTTCCCTACACTATCAATCGTTTCTTTCATTTTCCTTTAATTTTTTGATTTCATCATCTTCTTCTTCTTTTGTTTTCTTCAATTCCTTTCTCCATCAAAATACTAAAAAAACAATATGTTTTTACTTTTTAACTTCAACTTAAAATACAACTGAATTTAATTTTTTCCCGTAATTTATACACTTTTCTGGTAATATATGTTTTCATATTCATACACTTTCAATAATATATTTTCATCTCTTGTAGGTACGAAGTATATGATTTTTAGTAGTTTTTAAGATATTGAATTTGTTACTGTAAAAAAGATATTGAGTTTGTTTATTTCAATTTAAATTTGATCACACATGAGATTACATTTTCATGTGTGCGCTTTACGTTTCCATATATGCAAGTTACATTGATACACGATTCCTGGAGTTACATTTGATAATACATGAAGTTACATTTTCATATACGCAGTCTACATTCTCATGTGTATGAGTTCCATTTTTACACGTGACTTACATTTTCAAGTGTGTGAGTTATATTTTGACTTGTCTCATCAAGTTACATTTTGCATATACACAATTTATATTTCGACTTGTCTAAAGTTACATTTTACAATAATGCGATTTACATTTTGACTTGCCTGAAGTTACATTTCGGCTAACGGAGTGAGTAAGCGAGTTACACTTCTCTAAACGAATTACATTTGTCGCTAATTGGGATTACATTTTGTGGCAATGCGAGTTACATTTCGATACATGAGATTTATAACATGAAAAATGTTGAGACAAAACTTGGGTACTATTCACGCGCATTCTTAACTAAAACTTACATCTAAATGATGCTATTTTAGACTACTCTCATATACGTAGTATGTTTAGACCTTTTGTAGCTCTTATTTCTTCAAATCCATCATCAATCGTGAGATCGTTTACCATGCAATGCACATCGTATGTTGGTCCCAATATAGACTGTTAGTCTGCTATGACTTCCATTCTTTTTCTCCAATAAATGCAAGAATTTCAAGAGTTATTACTAATGTCGACTTACACATAAAAATCAACGTAACAAAACATGATCTGGATCAAGTTTTCTTCTTTTTTCTTTTTAACTTCAATTACCATCTTCTTCATCAAAATATTAAGAATTTAATCCCAAATTTTGTTTTTCTTCATCTTCAAAATTTTGTGTTTTTCGTTTTTCTTCTCCTTTTCTTTTTTTCTTTAATTATCTTCTTCTCTTCAATCAAAATATTAATAATCTAACCACGACTTCATTTTTATTCATCTTCAAAGTAAACCTATAATTTTTCTCCATCCAATTCAATAATGATGTTTTGTTATTCTAAAATAAAAATTTATATTTGTTTTGAATACCTGCAATAATATTCCTCCAATATATGCTATGTATTATCTTATACTTACATTTCGACATGTCTCAAGTTACATTTCCACCTAACGTGATTTACATTTCACCTTTGCTCAAGTTACATTTCCATTAACGTCATTTACATTTCCAATTGCCTTACGTTACATTTCCATTAAAGTCATTTACATTTCGACTTACCTAAAGTTACATTTCATTTAATGTGATTGATATTTTGACTTGCATCAACAAGTTACATTGACTAGTACGCGAGTTACATTTGTCACTACGTGATATTACATTTCCAGTAATATGAGTTACCTTTTATTCACATGATTTACACTGGTTTTACTTAGGGGTGGGTAGAAATACCTAATAATCGGTATACCGCACTTAACGTACCGAAAAATACCGGAAAATACCGAAATGTTGGTATACTGTTATTTTCAGTAGGGTGATATGCACTAGTTTGTAGTGCATGAATGTATGTTTTTATATTTATTCTGTGTGGATTATTTACCGTTTTTAGTTAGTTTGTAAGCATTTGTTTGGTTTTGTTTGTAAATGTTTTTAGCTTCCATTTATAGTTGTAAAATAGTGGTAGAGCTTTTTGACAAGGAAAAGGAGAAAAGCCAACAAGAATGCTTCCCAGGGAGATCCACCCGACCGGGTAGAAAACTTGACCCGGTCGGGTTTGATTTGAAATCAGAATCTCAAAGGAAAGAGCTAGACCCGGTCGGGTCAAGTAATTCACCTGGTCGGGTCAGATGTGACCCGGGACATTTTAACGTGCTAAAACACAAGAACGTGGAAGATTATCTGATTTAGACACCCACCCGGTCGGGTGGGCACTTGACCCGGTCGGGTACCCGGCCCAAGGTGTTGGAAAACACCTATAAATAGCCCCATTTTCCTTCACTTTTAATCATCCCTTCTTCCATATACTTAAACTCAGTTTAGAATAGTTATTTCTTATATTTTTATAGCATGTTTAGTCTCCAAATGAGGAGCTAAACTTCCATTTCTTGGTGTTGCTCTTGAAGCTTGTTGATTATTAAAGTTGTGAGTTATTTTCTTAACTTCTTCCCTTGAATATTAATTATTCTCTTAATCTATCTATATATTAATGTTGGGGAGTGTTGCTAAGATGACAATTAGTTAACATCTCGACATTAGTTATAGTAGTATTTATTTTCTTCCTCTATATATTAATGTTGGGGAGTGTTGCTAAGATGACAATTAGATAACATCTTGACATCAGTTATAGTAGGATTATTCATATTTAATCTTCTTCCTTGAATATTAATTCTTCCCTTAATCTATCTCTATATTAATGTTGGGGAGTGTTGCTAAGATGACAATTAGTTAACTGACGTGCACTTTGTCGTGAGTGCACTCAAAGTAATATTCAATACAACACTTATACGTAGTATAGCGTAGTAGAGTTCGTATCCACAGGGAAAGGACTAACTTTCTTTTTATATAAATAGTAAGTAAAAAGGGGGGTTTTGATTGTTGAGTGATTTAATTAAATTAAACACGAAGATGAACGATTTATATGGGATTTAATTCAAAGATAAAAGGGACTTGGTATTGCTACTTTACACTTGTTGATATATTTTAGTCGATCATTGTTATATCTATAACTTATCTCCTCTCGAATACTCAATCGAGGAGTATATCCAATTCATCGAGGATAGTTATTAACAACGACCGTTCATTAATAACCCTTACTATTAGTCAAGTATAGAACAACGCCATATACCGACTTGATAGTAGCATTTAATCTTTTAATTCCTTGATGAAATCAATTGAGATTGATAACCTCAACACAACGGTCTCGGTTTAACCAACAAAATTAATCCCTCTTAAGTTTATTAACCACGACCGTGCATTAATAAACCGAAGTTACTTACTTGTGAAACTATCAACGATTAACCATCGGTTCGTTGATCGTTTCTAGTAATAATTAATATATGAAACAAAACTAGTTGATCCTTTAAGTAATGTTCAAAATATTAATATGCAATATGATTAGGGATTAATTAATACTCAAGGAAGAATATTAAAGAAGATGAATCCTACTATAGTTAATATCAAGATGTTGACTAATTGTCATCTTAGTAACACTCCCCAATATTAACATAGAGGAAGGAATAGCTATTACTAAGACCAATATCAAGATGTTAACTAATTGTCATCTTAGCAACACTCCCCAACATTGATATAGAAATAGTATTTGAAGAAAGAATTAATATTCAAGGAAAGAGGTTAAGAAAATAACTCACAACTTTAATAATCAACAAGCTTCAAGAGCAATACCAAGAAATGGAAGTTTAGCTCCTCATTTGGAGACTAAACATGCTAAAAGAAATATAGAGAAATGCTATTCTAAACTGAGCTTAAGAGTATATAGGAATTGGTTTTTAAAAGTGAAGGAAAGGAGGTGTATTTATAGGCTTTTTGAGGTGCAGGATCGAGTACTCGATCGAGTATGTATACATACTCGATCGAGTATG